AAGATGCTTCTAAAAAGCTATATCACAACTGTGATTTTTACACTTAGATTAAGAACGAATAAAAACTATTCAATCTTGAATAAGAAAGTTTGTATGAGAGTTATTGAATAATTTGTCAAGTAATTCGTCAACTTTGAAAGGTGGTTGAAGACAAACTTTTATAGGCCAGAAAGTCCAAAGCTTGAAGACTGTGCACTGCTGTAGCTGTAGCCTTTTGTCTTCTAATGACTCTAGCTTTCCCAGAAGAGGAATGTTCAGACAAATCCTTTTTGTCTAATTTCCTGTGCCATACACAAATGAGGAAACACTACTAGAAATGTTGTATTTAGCCTCGGCCACTTTCCGAGGCTATAAGGCAAAAAACCGCCGCTACTAGCCAATTAGCCTCGGGGTAGCGTCGGTGTCAGGGATAGGCTAAAACGATCGAAGCTAACTTTTAGCCTCGGCAAGAAGAGACGTGGCTAAATATAACCTCGGTCTAGCCGTGTCTACTTTAGCCTCGGTTTAGCCGTGTCTACTTTAGCCTCGGTGAAGCCGGGTCAAAAAACAAAAAATATCCTGGGCCTGACCGAGGCTAAAGTCAAATTCCATAAGCTCACGTGTTATTTAGCCTTGGTCCTGGTCGAGGCTAAAGGAACATTTTGCCTCGGTTTATTCGAGGCTAAAGTCAAACCTCATAAGTCAACAAAATATTTAGCTTTAGCCTAACCGAGGCTAAAGTCAAATTGTACAATTGAAAGAATGAGCATCCTCAGTCCAAGCCCTACGAGGTCCCGAAGTTGAAGCTGTCATCAATGACGAGAACGAGGGCATTAAATCAGTTGCCAATGATATTTGATCAGTTAATATATGGTTCAGAATAGTGTCATAAAGTTCTCTCAGGATATAAAGATTAAGTGCATTGGTGTCGCAAATAAAAGATCTCGGTAATAACGAGCAAGCATGGTTCAATCTTACACCATTCGAGTACATTATAAGTTGAATTTGCAGCTTAACCAGAACCTTCAGTAGTACCTATGCTTACCAAAGCTCTGTGATGTCGAGACATATTTACGGCTAAGGACGGTTTGTTACCGTTGACGACGAATTCAATAAATATCAAGCCACGAGATCTAAGGCTGTCAAACACCTGCAGAATGATGGAGCATATCAGGGAAAATCTCTCTACTAACAAATAAAAACAAGGGAGAGTATAAATTAACAACACACCAAATAATCCCTAAAATTCTATGGATATAGATAGATACTATTCATGATGTGAGAATGAAATCTAAGTAAGATATTGGATAAAGAGTACGGTTATATATGATGTGAGAAAATGAAATAAGAATACTGAGGAAGCTGATTTCACAACAATTGAAAAAGGTCTAAATATGAAAAAGAAAACAAATATACAATAACAAATGGTTATTGCTGAGAGCCTACATAACCTAAAAACTCATGCAGCTTCCTTTGTTTATTCAGTGACAATCTAAGAAATAAGATTCTTTGCCCGTGGAAGTATAGCAACAACACCTTTCTGAAGATCAGCATACTTCTTAAACACAACTTTGAGTTTTCCATTCCCACTAGCACTGTGAAAACGCACCAGCAATCTAGCACAACCCATCAATTCTTCTTATGAGTAACCAGTGTGCACCTTAAGTGTTTCATCCCAAACAGGACTTTTGTTCAATGTGCACCTTGTTGCATAAACTGCTGTTGCAGCCATCAATGAGGGACTGTACATCAAGGTAGCATAATGCATCATTCCCAGCTCAGAGAGAAAATGAGCCATGCTCTCGAAAATAGCTTGGTCGGAAGGAGGTAATGACACCGAAGCCGCCTTGAGGAATCGGACTAGGAAAACAAATGGTGTAGGCACTGTCAGAGTCCATTCAAGCTTCCCTAGGATGGTTTTCTCCATGATGAGGATCTAGGGCTGTCAAACACCTGCAGAATGATGGAGCATATCAGGGCTGTCAAATTACTGTGATTCCCACAAAGGCCAATTATGACAGCCCCTGGGCACAAAATTTTGATCACACTAGGCCTCCCCCACTCGAGCCACAAACTAAAAATCCATCTACCAATAAAATATTATTCTGTAGGACTGCACTGAAGGCAACACACCTCCTGCTGCACCAATGATGAAAAACCAACCAATCACTCATCCTAATACTCGAAACTCCATCAGAAAAAACAACACGCAATCGATACCCTGAAGCAACCAATTACTAATACAAGAGTAATCTGACACCCTAGAACACAACTCCAATAACCACATCCTCCAGAATCATCAGAGAAACTATTCAAGCAGACTTACTCCACAAGGATGATACACAAGAATGCTAAGGCCAAAAATTGCACTAAACACCACCGCTACACGGAACTAATAATGAAGCTTGGATTCGAGTGCCATTACAACATGTTGCAACTAAGATACTTATATTTTCCTATTAACAAATTCCAAGAGAGCCTTTGAACATTTTTAACTAATAAAGGTTATGATTGTTATAAAAAGTAAGATCCATTAAAACGGAATATGATGTGTTAATATCATAGTTTATCTTATAACAAAGTTATGACCACCCTTTATTCTAATATCATATTCCCATTAAAACGGAATATGATGTGTTAATATCATATGCCCTTTATTCTAATTTTTCCATAAACTCAAATGTTCAGAAATACGTTCAATATACTTTCTTCTCTCCGATTGTCTCGCCGTAGTCTCTAACCAACACCGTCGCGCCGGAGTTTAGGCTCTGTTAATTAGTTGAATTCTGTTATAAATTAGCTGGCATTGGGCTATTAGATAGGGAGTTAGTTTGGTTAAGTGAGGTTGGAATGATAGGTGATGATTCAAAATTTTGCTAAAGGGGGCATTGAGATAGGTTAGTTACAGTGAAGCTATTAATTGATGTAGTAATGTCAGCTGCTATAGAAGTTATATATGATTTTTTTGGTACCTATCACTATTGGCCTAGTATATTGGGACATAATAAACTAAGCAATAACATCTTAAGACCATGGAAAATTTGATCAAAAGACAAACAAGTTACAATATACTTACCATATTGGTCTCCACAAAACTGGGATTAATTCTGATCCCTTTAATTTCATTCAATCCATCTGGAATGAGGGGAACAAACTATAAGATTCAGAAAAGTAAGATTGAACAGAAAAAAAAAAGAAAAAGGATTTTGATTCCTTAAAAACTGATAGTTTCTCCTGCAGACTTACTGGCCAAAACTTTAGTTTTCTTGTGATCACTTTCAAGTTTTCCAACATTTTCCTTTAAGGCAACAAGTGCAGCAGCACAAAAGATGCCAATCTGTCTCATTCCACCACCTAAGGTTTTCCGGAGTCGCTTAGCCTAACATTCAACATAGAAGCTAGACTTAAATATCGTTCATCGAGGAAGGTTTTACGTGCTAACCAAATTTTTGACCTACCTTAGAAATAAGTCCTTGGAACCAACTATAACAGATCCAACTGGAGCGCCTATGCCTTTAGAGAGGCAAACCTAATGAATATTGTCAAAACGAATCATATGTCTGTTAGCATGATTGAATCAATATTGAGTCACACTTAAAAACGAAAAGAAAGGAATAACATACTGAAACCGAATCAGCTGCTTCGACAAGCCTATCCACAGGAACACCCAGCGCCTGAAAAACCAACAAAAAACAACTTTTGTTTGCATATAACGTTTGGAAACTTATGAAAAAATGATGTGTTCGAAGTTGATTTCAGCTTATGTGCGAAACTATAGTTTAGGAGACAGAGAAAATGCAAGTTCATTTCATCTTATTGTTCTATCAGTATAAACAAATGAGCAAAAAAATATCACTATTATAGCATCAACGAAAAATCAAGTGATTCAGTTCAACATAAAACTTTTGGTGAAATCGGTAAAACGCAAATTTACTTACAACTGATGCATTAAAAAGTCAGGCTCCATCAATGTGAAGCATCACTCCATGCTTCTTAGCAACCTCTCCAACTCTATCAGTATATTCAACAGTGAGACATCTTCCACCTGAGCTGCATCGAGAAAGTATATCAGCCATAATTCATCAAAAAAATTCATGTACAACGCAGAAAACAGAACAACAAAAATCACTCACTTTGCATGACTGTTTTCAAACAATTCATTGTGAATCCTCTCAACATAGTGGCTAACAGCCTTAAGATAACAACAATTAACAATGACTGATTTCAAAATAGTTTTGACAAAAAACACCAACCAACCTTTGCTATCAAAATGTAAAGATCCAAGAATTCTTCACTATGTCATCAATGTTTGAAACTTAGTCTTGTCATGAATTCAACTAAACACACATGACAACACCCTTTCAACAGACCACACCAGCAAAGAGCATACAAAGAAATATACTAATTCAAACATTATTTTCAAACATTGTTTTCAAAATCAATTACCAATTTGTCAAACCAACACAGTTCTAACATGAAGATCAAGAGTTCAAAATATTTCCAAGTTCAAATCCTCCTACAACTAGTTTATTATGCATTTTAAAATGACAAATGCTAAATCCAAACAATTTTATGTTATGAAAATAGATTTGACAGCAACAAACATAAGCTTGACATAACAATGTCAATCCTCAACTCTCACCATCTGTTTCAACAGTACATATTATCACCTCTACAAAAGCAACAAACTACCTACATTACCCTAGAGAAAATTGTTCTACGATGCCTTGAATATATAATCTAGTGCTTAGCTGAGTTCAAATACTTGGAAGGTAAATATCACCGCCTATGAAGTGATGAGGACTACTACATCTGTAAGGATATCAACAAATATTCATTCTGTGCTATCACTGTGAACATATATCACCATCATCATTTGAGAGGTGTAATCATTTGGGAACTGGAAACCATGCATGATGATGAATGTCACCCTTACGTGTCCCTCCTCCACCCTTCTCCCATCCCTATAAATAACCACACTGCAGGTTCTTCGCTTCATCATTCTCATTAGTAATCAGTTAATGATCACTATCACAATGGCCAAACACTTCCTTTTTTCCCCCTGCTTGCTGCTCTTCAACACTGCATGTTTAGCACATCACTCTGAATTAGACAGGTTCAACCAATGCCAACTTGACAGTATCAATGCATTGGAACCAGATCACCGTGTTGATTCAGAAGCCGGTCTCACTGAGACATGGAATCCAAATCATCCTGAGCTACAATGCATCGGTGTATCTCTTATCCGCCGCACCATTGATCCTAATGGCCTTCACTTGCCTTCTTATTCACCATCTCCACAGTTGATTTTCATCATCCAAGGTTTTATTATATGATCAAATTTACATAATGATTAAATATTCATTATTATATGAATTTGTTGAATTATTTTGTAATTGTTTATGTTTCCGATCACCGTCCTGTCTGGATTAAAGCTAATACTCTGAACTGGGGGTCAAAGCCCTTCAAGGCTTTTCGTTGTTGGTTTGATCATCCAAATTTCATGGATTTCATTAAGCAGGAATGGAGTGCTAGTGTTGGTGGAATAAAAACGTTTTTGGTTGGGTTGATCTGAGAATGGAGTCGGACTTGGAGAGGTTTAATGTGTTGCAGGAAGATTTGATGGACGAGGATGGTTTTGTAGCTGAGGAAAAGGTGATTAGTAGAGGGAAGGCCAAAGCTGAAGATTAAAACAGTCTCCATTTGAAAGAAAGTTTGATTAAACAAAAATCAAGAGCTAAGTGGGTTAAAGAAGGGGATTGCAATGCGAACTATTTTCACTCACAGTTGAAGGCTAGAGTTAGATCGAATTCCATCACTACTCTGAAGGTTGATTTAGCTATCGTAACAGATGTGTTTTATATTAAACAGGCAACCAGAGATCATTTTTTTTGACAGGTTTAGCAGTAGCTATTCAGTTAGACCATCAATGGATCTGTCAGGCTTAATCAATTTGTCCATTGAAGAAAGTTTACAACTAGAAGATCTGTTATCGTCTGAAGAGATTCGTTTTGCAGTATTCAATTGCGAAGGCAATAAAAGTCCTGGCCCTGATGGGTTTAATCTGGACTTCATCAAGACTTGTCGGGAAGTAGTAGGGAACGAGGTTATCACTTGCATCAAAGAGTTTCATAGCACCGCGATTGGGGTATGGCTCATTTATCCCATTTTGGCTGGCAAAATGGCTGACCAATAGGTCGCTTATGAATGTTTTTTCAGTGTTGTTTGGTACTTTAGAGAGTAGGCTTGTAGTTGTGGCGGGTATGGGTCGCTGAGTATGACATAATTAGGAGTTTTTCTACGCAGAAAGTTCAGCTGGAATGAAATCACTTACTATAGCTATTTCTGCAGCACCGAAAAGTTCAGCTGAAATGACAGTGTTACGTTTGGTTATTTTACAAGCACTGTGGTTGTTGAGGTTGTGAACAGAGTGAGTGGAGGGTGGTTGGAAAGTAATAACTTGAATAGAGACAAGTTTAACTACTTTTATTGCTTGTTATCTGTTATAAGTGTTGTGAACTTTGAATTAGCTAGCACCTAACAAGAGTTTTTTACACACTAACATTTTCCCCTTCACAATAGAATGTCAATTACCATACTAACAGAACCGAGTTCAACCACATTTAACAGAACATTGCATATAAAATCTTAAATAAAAATTAGAATGCAAAACCTAACAGCAACACAGACAAAAGCAGGGGATGAGTTGAATGCAAAACATCATAATCATTAAACATAAATCTCAGTTAGGGTTGGAATTAGAATGGAAAATAAAAAAATCTAACCTTTAAATGGCAAATAACACAAACAAATTGATTCTATCTCTGCGTCTTTTCTCTGCTTGACTATGATTCTTGGAAGCACTTGCAGCTTTATCTTCTAAACTTCCTTCAACAGGTAAAGGTCAAGACTAAAACTCACTACATTGAAAAAAAGCAGAAGAAGAATCAAAGATAGTTTGAGGTTAAAAAAAAGCAGAAGAAGAATCAGAGACCAATAAACTAACTCACAAGAATCAATGATCTTGAAGATGAAAACGAAGGATGAAACTCACTACATTGATTTTAGGGGTTTTTTTCTTCTGAAAATGTATGTCTTTAATTTTAAGGTTCGTGTTCTCTGAAAGGAATTAAGAGGGAAACATGAAAACAAGGTGGGAAATACTTAGCCTCGGCTCATCCGTGTCTACCAAATAAAAAATAAATAAAACACGTTAGCCTCGGTTGATCCGTGTCTAACAGATAAATTAAATATATATTCGAAAAATATTAAAAACTTTAGCCTCGGCCCATCCGTGTCTACCAGATAAAATAAATATATATTTGAAAAATATTTAAAATGTTAGCCTCGGCTTGTCCGTGACTAATATTTAAAAAATAGAAAACTCTTAAATGGGGTTTATTGCGTTTAAATAGCCTCGGTGAGACTGTGTCTAATACTTTAAAAAAATTTAGCCTCGGCCTAGCCGTGTCTAAATAATTAAATAAAAATAATTGTAAAAGAAAAACTTTAAAATGGCTTTTTTTGCGTTTGAGTAGCCTCGGTTTTGTCGAGGCTATTTAGCCTCGATTTCGGTGGCCGAGGCTAAATTCGCAGCTAAAATGAAGTTTTCTAGTAGTGAAAGAGTCATTTGGAATATGCCAACAGATATATCTTTGAATAATATCTTCTTCAACAAGCTTCTGTCTCAAAGTTATCAACATCAGAGTCTTGAAGTGATCAAAGTCTTGATGTTATCAGAGTTTTGCAGCCAATGTGCTTCAGCGTGAGTATCTCAATCAGAGCAGAGTTTGAAGATCAGATCCTCTTGTACTTGCAGCGTGAAGTACTTCCAGAGTCTTCTGAAACAATGCTTGAAACTCTTCATACAAAATCTTCAACTACGCTTCAGAGTCTTCTGTAGCTTCTGCTTCAGAGTCTTCTGCAGCTTCTGCTTCAGAGTCTCTTCTGGCAGCGCTCAGAGTCTTCTGATGACTTGCTTCTGATGCTTCAGAGTCTTGCGTAGAGTACTGTTCAGATGCATTTTTGCTTCCATAATAATATTTAATTTAATATTTGAAACAAAAATACTTGAACAAAATAGAGTATATATATATATATATATATATATATATATATATATATATATATATTCTTAATACAAAATTTCATTAGTGTTATCATCAAAACATAGAGATATATTAAACACCAATCTGTGTTCTAACAATTAGTTGTTCTTTTTTATTGGTGATCCACTCTTATATCATTCTTGATATATGAGTTGGACTATGTTTATTTGTGAGCCATTCATGCATCACTTAGATGCTTGAAGTAGACTGAGTTTATTGAGTTATAATTATGAATCACTCATAAGCTTTTAAACAAGAGTGGATTATGTGTCATTGGAAGTGTGTCTTCTATTGTTTATTTTTATAAGTTTTATCACTATTGTGTGATTGAAGGGAAGTGAGAGGGGTCTCATATCTAGGAGTGTCTTAGATAGAAATAGTAGAGGTAGTGATTAGGTGAGAAGATTGTAAACCAGAGGTTGTTTACTTGGGCCTCAAACTAATAATATTATAGTGGATTTCCTTCCTGGCTTGGATGCCCCTAGATGTAGGTGGTGTTGCACCGAACTGGGTTAATAATTAAATGTGTTATTTACTTCCAGTCATTTAAATTAACTGTATAATTGTTAGTGGTATGTTATAGTCCTGATCCCAGTGTCGTGACATCCTAATCAATAATTGGCGTGTGAGTACCACAATTTTACTATGCATATGCATGTGGTATCAACTAAATATTTGGTTCTCTCTGGAACTATATCCCCTCTCTAAACCCATAAGCCCCATCTCTAAACTTGAGACTAGCCACTAGTCCCCTCTCTAAACTAGAAGACATGCCTCTTGACACAACTCAATGATGCATGCTTATACACATCAAATAAATGAGCTAACCCCCTTTTTTATCTTAACATGATGCACTGATAACTCAAGTTATCCCTTCTCTGGATTACACCTCAATTACAAACATAAAATATACAACATCATATAATTCAATGCAACTCTAGTATTCAATCAGTCGCCTCAATTAGATTATTATTCATACATGCAACAATAGAATAGTCATAAATATCACCTTAAACAAAATGACATTGTCACACTTTTAATTCACACCACAACATCATTACCACCAAAAAGTTCACCAAAACGACCACCATACACATCTCACCATTTATGCAGCACATCATCATGCACAACAATTAATCATTGTTACAACATCAATAAACAATAACAAACAACATCAACTCAACAAGTGTAAGTTCATAGGCATTCATTCATGTCACTTCACTAAAACAACAACACATAATCGTATAAACATAACGAATCGCTAACCGATTATACAGGTCAACATAAACATCCTTATATAGGTAAACAACTACAACTCAAGCATTTCACCAAATAATACCATGAGGTTACTCTACGCGTTAGCTTTCTAACTCTTTGAACGACGTCTTATTTAGACTTATGGAAGTCAAGTTAGGCTCGAAAACATATCACTTCCAGGGAGCTGCTACGACTACCCGTAGCACTTTTTAGCTAAAACCCCCATTTTGGGTACACCTTGGGTACAAAAACTCGAGGGCTGCTACGGTCGCCCGTAGCACGTGCTACGACATGTACCAGTTCCTAGAAGATCCCAAATTTGTTGCGATTTTGTGCGATCACTCCTATTTTCATCCGTTCATCAGACCCTAAACCCCAAGTTTGACCTCTAATAGTCTGAAAACATACCATTCATCATTGTACGTGAAAACATATTGATTTTTATCATCTCTTAACATCTAAACAATAATACATCATGGCAACAATGGTGGAAAACATACATGTATACACAAACAGAATTTCAGACATAGTCACACGAATTTCATATCAATAAAACTAGGAGAATATAAACTCCTCAAAAACAAACACAAAATTCATCACAATGATCATTCCTATTGAGGTTAAGGAGTCTTTTACCCTACCCCGTGCATAAGCTCTTATTGAAGGTTATTCTCCCCCTTACCTTAAATTTTTTCAATAAAATTTTTCAAAAGTCTTTTGATGGATGCTCTTTCTATGACATAACTCTTGCGTCTCCCTCTTTCCACCGAATTCTGATTTTACGTATGAAAATTCTCACAACTCCTTACTAACTTTTTTTATTAGTAACCTAATCCCTCAATTAAAGACTTCCAGCATTACCCTCACTTATCTCCCTATTCACCAAAATATATTTATCATCTAGAATTTTATTTTAATAAAAATACTACTAATACTCCTTATTTTTCTATATTCTATTTTCTCATTTTAAT